TCGGTTTGTTTCAAGTCTCCCCAGAAATGTACATGAGTTTCTCATCTTAAATCAAGAGTAAGAAAGAACATCTACAAATAACATTGTATCATTTACATTTTACCTAATAATCTTGCACTACTCAATCACTATTATTGTTACCTTTACAGGTGCATTCCTATGAGTCTAAGTTAATTTATGGGATGAATTTGTGGAAACAGAGTGGCATTATTTAGTGGATAATATCCATAGGAGACCTATCATTGTAGCTATGTGCTTAACGGTCACCACTTTCCATGGTATGATAAAACAAACTTATTTCCACTCTATACGATTCATTTCATATAATTGATGTTAACTATAATAGTCCAAACTTACTATCGCAGGCTTATCTCTCACCATGTCTGGAAATAGTGTTCTCTTATACGACCCACCAATAACATAAACCAAACAACTACAATCATGGTAAGGATCTATTTGTCCAGATTTTGATGACAATCATGACTAAAAATCATCATCGCCGATTTTATTGATGAAAGGCCCCGGCGAATTTTGGATCCACCGACTCTCAAATTCGAACATTTGGATCCACCGACTCTCAAATTCGAACAATCAATCAGGTGAAAAATTTGACGCAACATGCAATATTATGTTACACCTCTCTTCAAACACTGGTTCTTTTTCCACAAAGAAAAGAAATCAAGTAACAACTTCTGAACTTATATTTGCATTCATCAATGGAACTGAAATCGTTTTGGATAAAAGCTAAAGCGAAAATTGGTAGATTAGATCATCGTCTTTATACCTTCACCTATCCTGGTTGTTCAAAAATTTGTGGACTTTCACGTCCAACTGCATTCACCTGCTTTTACTGTGATAACAACAATCCAAATCCAAATGCAATGTAAGTCAGCTAAACTTCTCTTCAAAAATCAATCATGGGACCATTTTTTCCCTTTTCATTAATTGTCTTACACACATATAACATAACCAATTCAAGTTTTACAAGCAGGCTCAGATTTGAACTCGAACTAACTGATAATACTGGTACTCTTTTCACTGCAATAGAAGAAACTGAAGCTGAAACATTGTTAGACATGTCAAAAAAGGACATTATTCAACTTCAACAAAAGGTATTTTGTTCAAAATAACATGTTACTTTCCCCTTAATTTCATCTGCATACACTAACTTGCAATCATACAGGAAAACAAAATGAACCTACATGATCTAAATAAAAAGTTCCAAGACATCCAACAGTTCTTCTATTTGCAAAGCAACAAAAATGTAAGAGATTCCCCCTATCCACAATATATTATTGTTGCTTGCCTACCAATATTCCAACAATCTTCTGGTAGAACACTTTCTGAGAAAGAAAGCACAACATCAGACACATGCAGTAGAATGTCAATAGATACTCCAATACCTGAAGATGAAGCAACCACATCAAAACAAGAGGAAACAAAAATAACTCCAACCAAAAGGATACTCCACTCAACTGAAAGTCCATCACATACGAAACATGTGAATAAAGACTAGCTATCAAGTATTACCCTTGCTATGTGTACTACCCTTGCTACTTACGAGACTTTGAATTTTTGTATACATAGATTTTGGTTTGTAATATACATGCATTTTGTTTAATAATAGCATGTACAGAGCTACTCCTGCGTATAAAGCTTTGATTCTTTTGGCAAACAAAACAAAGGCTCATAAATAGCTAGATCAATAAAAAACTATGTTTGTGTCATTAATGATTTTAGTGTGTTGTCACGTAAAAATTAGATGATGATGTTTTACTTCAAAATTATTTCATTTTCTTATCCCACTACTAACTAATTTATTTATCATCAATTGAACCTATAGTTATTTACTCGTTGCTTTTGTTTCCACTATTTTTTAAAGAATACAAGCACCGTTAACATCATATTGCAATTGACACCGATGAATTCATGATTTAACATACTCACGGTACTTATACTTACCTAAAAAACAAAAAAAAAATAAAAATAAAATGAAACAACGCTTCCTCTATTCTCAAGCAATAAACCAAATTGGAACGATTCTACTGCTGTAGAGAATAGAGAAACATAAAGTAACGATTCACAATAAGATCAATATATTGTTATTATAGATTTGCATAACAGCTAAAATATCATACACACGGGTTAAAATCTTACACAATAATTGAGAATAATTACATACAAAAACTAACTGTTTTCATAAATATTTATTACGAACCAAAGAAACAAAAATTATTGAAAACCAAAAAAAAAAAAAACCTTTAATCAATATCTTCCATAGATGATGTTTCACCACTCTGCACATCACAAAATATAGAACTTCTGTAGCGATTAGAAAGTTCAACAGTTTCTATCATTCTTTCAAGTCTTTCCAACCACTCGAAATAAATCGTAGATTTTGCACTCCATCGGTGTACTCCACTCCCAAACCCTTCGCAATTCCCTCCTGTTTAAAATAAATATGCTCAAACATCATACATATATCTTTATTACATGTTCTTTCAACTGCAATGAAAATTCACAACTCCCCTTTCACACGGAACTTCATTCCCTTCCATTAACAGCAGTAGATAAAACACCAAGAAACAAAATCATAGACTGTATACTATATAAAATATATGATATATATCACAAAGTAAGGACAAATGTGTTAAATCCTATCATTAATGTGTGATGAGGTGGCACAAATCTACTTTGTTTTCCCATCGGTTCCAATACGTGTTACCTACTAAAGTTCAGCTATATCTATACATGTTATGCTAAATAAAACCCACTGGGCTCCAATCCCTATTCCGCTGCACCATGTGCAGCGCGACTCCCCTAGTAATACCAAAATGCGACGACATGAATTAATCATGCTCTTATCAGCAAATTAAATTAGGAATACATTTACAGAATAACCAATTATATATTAATTAGGCAATTAATAATTGTATTGAAGATGTAATTGTAAATAACTCCAACTATTTTAGGCAGTTGATATATTGAGAGCATTTATGTTAGATTGAGAGTAAATAGTTTTAAAATACCATATTTAGAATACCAGATGTCAAGTAAACTGCTAAAATGGCCATTTACATTTGTTAAAAAACTTAATTTGGCTCTTTACATTAAAAATTTACCGGTTTGGTTCATTATATTTTTCATTTATACTAATTTAATCCTTTTTTTAATTTTTTTTGACACTTTACATTTGGTGGTTCTCTAGTTGACCGTTTCTTGGTCAAGTCAACATGGATATTTTCAGTAATATCTAATTTTCAAAAAATATTTAAAAATACAAAATTTGATTAGAATATATTGATCATATTATATTGATTTTTAATTAATTAGAAAATAAAAAATTTAAAATTTAAAAAACCAAAAAAGAAAAAAAATCCAAAATCCTGATTTTTTTTATCCCATGAGCCCCACATTCGGGTTCTTATCATTGGCCTTATTCTTATTTTGTTCTCTCAACATCTAGGAAGGGGGTTTGGGAATGGGAAAGAGTTTGACTGGGAGAAATGGGAAGAAAGTTAAATAATAAGGTCAATAATAAGAACCCAGCCGTGGGGCCCTTAAGATTAAAAAAATCTAATTTTGGAAAAAAATTGTGAATTCTAAATTTTTAATTTTTATTTATTTTTAAAATTAATTATAAATTAATCTAATATATTTAATATTATTTTAATAAAATTTTTAAATATTTTTTATAATTAGACATTACGGAAATTAACACCGATGACTTAACCAAGAAATGGTCAACCCGAGAACCACCAAATGTAAAGTGTCAAAAAAAAGTAAAAAGGACGAAATTAGTGTAAAAGACAAATGCATTGGATCAAATTAATGAATTTTTAATTTAAAAGACCAAATTAATTTTTTTGATAAATTTAAAGGACCACTTGAGTAGTTTACTCTACTTATTATGATTATTCTTCCTTTTTTTTTTCTTTTTCTTTTCCCTCTTTTTCATTATTAACGATAAAACATTTTTCTTCGGAGACTAATTAATATCCTAAGTCATAAAATTTCTAATTCAAAAAAATCACAGTAAGAGGCTAGTAAACTATCATAAGTAAACCTTCACACCGACACGACAAACATAAGTTTAAAATCGGTGGAATATTCACTGTAACAAGGCTTCCAAAGTTTATCCCTTTTAAAAAAAAATAAATCGTGAATAACAAATTAAGTAATTATAAATCATCATTGATTAATAGTTTGAAAATGACATAAAATATTTTAAAACCCGTGCAACGCATGAGAATAGTACTAGTTTTGAATAAATACAAAACTTAAGTACAATTGATTAAAAAAAATTACATCAATTAAAATGTAAATAAACTAGTCACATGTTATGTAATTTCTTTTTCTTTTTTTCCCTCATAAAAAGAAGAAAGAGAAGAAAAAGGAAGAAGAAAAAGGAGTGGGGAATTTATAAAAAAAAAGTTGAATTCTTTTCGATTTTTCAATTTTTATAAATAAATCTTTATTGTTTTTGAAAGCAAGTGACATTAATGCCCTAAACTTTTGGTCAATGTACACAGATAGGGACTAATTTTCCGTATATCTGTACTTTGGAATGAAATTGTACTATTTTTACAAAACGTAGGACTAAATCCCTGATTTCTCCTAAACTTTTATTTACAAATTAATCGAAAAACAAAAAGAAAAGGAAAAAGTGGGAAAAACAAAAAGGAAAGAATATAAAATGCGCTTGAGGTTCTTGGAACCTACAAGGATGCCCCCGTCGACATAAGTAATAAGTAAGAAAAGCATAAGATGCTTCCCCTTTCCATTTTCACAATCATACCCCACAGAAAAGAAACAAAATAGGAAAAAAAAAAGGAGCTTGAAAATTATAAAATTCAATGGAACTATGAAGGAAAAAAATCAAAAAATTACCTCCGACTTTGATGAAAGTTCGAAAAGCCAAAAAAAAAAAAGAAAAAAGAAAAAAGAAGAAAAGGATAGAGTTGTTAAAAAAAAAATGAAAAAGAAAATTCTTGATGCCAGCCTCATCCAAATTTGTTCGTTTTTAATTATTAAAGGAAAAAAAAAACAGAAAGAAAAAATGATTACAGATAGTTTTCCAAAATTAAAGAAAAAAAATAAAAATTAAAAAGATTCTCCACCTTGATTTTGCAATATATAACTGCACCCTCCATACCCAGCCCTTCATTTCATTCGTTGACAGCTCTTCTTCCATTTCTTCCATATATCTTCCTTTGTTCCTCTCCTTCTTAGCTGATAATATCTCAAACCCATCAATCCCAAATTAGCCAAAATGGCAGATCAGCTGACAGACGATCAGATCTCCGAGTTCAAGGAGGCCTTCAGCCTATTTGACAAGGATGGAGATGGTATATTTTGACTCCTTTGCCGTATCTGATTTTTGATTCATTTATTCTGTTTCTTTGATTTGCTATATTGGGTTGTATTGATTGTTGTTTAAAGTTATGACTTTGATCCTCTTTTGCTCAGATCTTATTTGATCTGATTACGTGCTTTAACTTTTTCTTGATCAGCTAACTTGTTGTTTTTTTGCCCTCTTTCCTGGTTATGATCTGTTTCTGATTTTGCGTTAGATTTTGGATCTTTATCACATGGTTTTATTATATTGGTTTTATTTTCTAAGATTTGATTTATCTTGCTCGTTTGATTGGGTTTTGTTCTATTTGTGGGTTATTGATCTTTTTGTTTTCATGGATAGGAAATATGTTTTGGATGGAAAGAATTTAGCTCAACTTGCTTTCTTACCTGTGGATTAATGACTTTTTTCCGACATAGATTAGGAAGGAAAAATGTAATTGGTCATATTATCCGTTTTGATTTTGGTGTTGCTTTATTTCATCACTCATTTTGCAAATTGGACCAAGGCGAGCAAAAATGGAGCAGGGTTATGACATATGATATGACTAGCTTTATCTGCATATGCCGTGTTGAATTTGACCATCGGGGACAATTTGAAACTTGATAACAAAACTACCGGTGCTAAAGATCTTGCATCCTTTATGTCACCTTTCCTTTTCTCCACCTTCTCATTTGGCTGCCCGTTCCTTTCTTTGGTCTTTACCTACATGCACGGGAAGGTTTTATATGGATGTAGAGGCATAAAGTGGCTCCTTTAACATGCATGGAATTCGATAATAGGGATAATTGTGAGGGAACTGCTTTCACTTGTAACTGGGTTGTTTAGATCCACAACATCTTAGCAATACGGGGATGCAATGTCCCTAATGCTGTCTTGGATAGTAATATTTTTCCACCACTTATTGAAAAACTGATTGTTGATGACCGTCAATTTTTTTGGGTTGCTTGCTGTTAGCTTCCTTCTATTTCGGGTACTAGGTCACTTTCATGGCTTGCAGTCAATGCTATCTAAATCTGCAATGACTGTTTCTGCTATATTTGCATCCTACTGCATTAGGCATCAGCTCGTTTTATTTCTAGATCATCATGTTAAACCATTTCAAGTGTACCACATATTTGTTCTTTGGTATGATGATTTGTGCTTTGTTGATTGGTTCCCATTTTGTTTTGGTAGTTAACATGATTTATCTCTCTTTTTGGTTATTTACTTCAGGTTGTATTACCACCAAGGAGCTTGGGACTGTGATGAGATCACTGGGACAAAATCCTACCGAGGCTGAGCTTCAGGATATGATTAACGAGGTTGATGCCGATGGAAATGGCACCATTGACTTCCCAGAGTTCCTCAACCTGATGGCACGTAAGATGAAGGACACTGATTCTGAAGAGGAGCTTAAGGAAGCTTTCCGTGTGTTTGACAAAGACCAAAACGGGTTCATATCCGCAGCTGAGCTTCGTCATGTGATGACAAATTTAGGGGAGAAGCTTACCGATGAAGAGGTCGACGAGATGATTCGTGAAGCTGATGTGGACGGTGATGGCCAGATCAACTATGAGGAGTTCGTCAAGGTCATGATGGCCAAGTGAGAACTGATCAACCCATAACTAATATCTTTTAAGTTAAAGGGTATAAAAAAAGGCCAGAAAATGAGAACAGCGCATTTTAAATTCTATCTCTGGTTAGGCGCACTCTTATGGTACTATTAGTTTTCGTGGTGGTGCTTGCTGTGTTTTCTTGTTTGCATTGTTTTGTAGTGTTGTTCTCCCGTATATGCTTGCTTCTCCTGTCCCCGGATTTAGTAGTTTGGGACATTTGGGTTGTTAGTGATCCTGGTATTTCTTTCTTCATTTGGATTTATGAATCTAGAACAATTGGGAAATTCAATTCCTTTTCGTACAAGTGACTAATTTTGTTCATACCCTGGTCAGTGTATTCTATTCTATAGTCTACTCATTATTCTTCTGAATTTTCCGGTTTTGTGTGCTTGATAATCACTTTTGATTGTCAATAATGGTATTCCAATGCTCTGAGTATACCAGAGTTTTGCGTCCTTGTTTTCGTGGGCCTTTTCCAGTTCCTGTAGCCTTAGGTTGCAACCTTGCAACCCTGTCTTTTGAAAGTCGTTTGGATTTTGGTGATATTATTCTCAAATGCGTGATTGCTGCTGCATTTTCCGGGCAGTAAATTAAGTTCATTTTCAGGGTTCATTTTGGTAGATTAACAATGCTGAACTTCCCTGGGTATGCCAAATATTGAGCTTCCCTTTCCATGTTAATGGTGGAAAAAGCTTTGATACAGGAAATAGACGCCCTGTATTAATGACCAGGCTATTTTCATACTGTTTTTATGCGTGATATAGTGATATCTATTCTATTTAGTTGGTGTGTTCATTGAGAACAGTTATGCAAATGATTGAGCGAATGTTTTTTGCATCCGGCAACTGTTTTTCTGCAGCATAATCCTGTGACTTCTTGTGATTCCTAAGGGGATGGATAAGGGTTAAATGAGTGGCGTCTGATGATTTTATACATGTTAGCCTGAAGATTTTATGCAATGTTAGTCTTGATCATTTAAGGTGGTGGAAGAAGTGAGCCTTTAATTTGGATGGTGCATTCTAATGGTCACAATGCGAAGTGAACGACTAAGACCATTAAAGACTTGACATTTTATGATTGACATTGTATTGAGGTTGCGGGTCGGGCTACTAAAGTTCTATCACCTGTTTGCGAAGTTGTGAGGAAAATGGAGAATGATGTTCTTAGGTTTTTTGGGGTTAGAAAACAATCAGAATTGTTAAAAACTGCGTTTGTGTGTTCTTATTTCTTCTAGCACTTAACCATCAACATAACAAAGTTGATCTTCTTTGTTTTCGTGGGTTAACTTCTGAATATATTGGGTAGATTATCTTTTCAAGTAAAAGTGTTTTCATGCTCTTCGGATGGAAGAAAAAGCCAAAAGGTTGGATCTAAGAATATTTATTGGGGTGGATTATCTTTTCAAGTGTGAAATGTTAAAGTGTTTTATAAAAGTGAAGAAAAAGTATAGATCTGAAAGTGTTTTAAAAATATTGTAGACGTAAAATTTTAGAAAGCCTCTAGAATTCAATCTTGACAAATAGTATTTTTTTCTTGAAAATTTGAGTTTTCTTATGGAAATGACACGAAAACCATCCAAAAGGGAGGAAAAGGAAAATGATTTTGTGTGTCGTTTTTTTAAATCGGATGCCGCAGAAGGAACTAATTTTGCGCTTTGAAATTTTCTCAAGGAGTTTTCCTCTTTATATTTACTGTACATATATATTTTTTTTAAAAAAAGCACTTTCTCAAGGAGGGGAAAGAAAACAAATTAAGGGTTTAGAAATTGATACTATTATTTTTTTTTATCCATTTTGGTATCCGCGAACCGGCCACCTTTCTTGATAGTTGCAATAAAAAATACTCTTCTCACAAAAATAATTTAGTTTAATAAAAAAATTTGTCCCAAAAAAATAGTTCAGTTTCATAAAAATTAAAATTAATTAAATTGAAATGATTTAAATATCCAAAATAGTAGTGATAAGGAAAACAAGGTTCACTTCTTTTTGATTTTTATTTTTTTTTATTTTTTCAAATGATTATATCTTTTAATATATGAATAATTAAAAAATATATTATATATCAAATTAATTTATGTAAACGAGATATTTCTATTAAGATCCATTGTCAATATTTTTCGAGATAAAAATTTTAATTAAATTTAAATTGTAAAATAAATACATATGTAATTAACTTTTATAGAAATAACTAGAAGGGACATTATTGAAAGTTAGGTGCATAAAATGTGTGTATTGATTAAATTAAAAAGGTTGTATATTTTCAAATTGGAGTATTTTTCTGAAACGGAGGAGGGAGTAGTTGTAGTTTAAAAGAGACAAGGTTTGGGTTTTGACTAAATTAATTCTTGGAATATTCGTCATTATTCTCATTTTGTGTCCCAAATTAAAAAGGAAAAAATATTCGGTGGGCGGTGCTGAGGATGCTCTCACTACCACCATTTGATATGCTCCGAATCTGATCATCAAACAAAAGGTTTCTGGATCTTTCCTGAATTTATGCCTCTTTCTTTCCCAAAGATATTTTGACGAGTTTCCATCACTATCTTTGAAAAAGATCAAATATGTTCCCTCAGCCTTATTTATTTATTTTATAAAAAACTAATAATTGAGACATATTTAAGAGCATCATTCTTTATTTTTTTTAATCTTTCTACATCATTTTAATAATTAAAATAAATTATAAAACTGTTGAAGTACTAAATTTGAGTCAAAATATGAGTTTCATTAGCGTTATTTTTCATTTTTTATTTTGTTTGGAGAGTATAGTGCAAAACTATTGTTTTTTATTTACAACATGACCTCATATAAAATTATTTACAACATGACCTATGGGATTCTGAAAAATCTTCGAAAAAGGAATGACGTACAAATGTTCAAGGAGACTTAAAATGTTTTTACTTGACATTTTAAAAAAGAATCATTTTAAAACGCAGCTAAAAGGACACCAAATAAATTTCAAATTTGTATGGATAAAAGCTTGCATCACCACTACTTCCCGAGTGCAAATGATTGTCGATTATTTAAGATATATTTTTATTATGATTTTGTCACTCTAATTATCACAATATATAAAAGTAGTGGTCAACTCAACTGGTCATTCCTCACTGAGTTGGTGACTTCTGAAGCAAAAAAGCAAGTACTCCTACTTTTCAGACCATGATGATTGCCGATGACTAGTCTTTTCATTTGTTTTGTACCAATTTTTTTTTTAAATACGGGTAATTCCAATTATGATTCCTTTTCCAAAAGGAAAAAAAAAAAATTATTGCAAAAGAACTTGTTACTTTGGAATATGACTTCTGAAACGTGTATCCTGTGAAAACACTCACGGTGGTTGTTTTTTATTTTTCTTTGTGTGTGTTTTGGGTCTACGAAAAAGTTTTACTGGAAATTTTTGATGCTGTCAAAATTCAACTTTTACTCATTTTTTTAAGGAAAAAAATCAAATGAAAAGCATTAATTTGGCTTGTCATCCTTTTTTAATGAGCTAAACCAAAGGGTAAGATAAGTACATAATTGGGATTAAATGATAAAGATACTATCTGTAATTTTTTGGGTATAATTTGTGACAAAATCTAAATTCTAACTTTAATAGTGTAATTTTTTTTTTCAATATTGGGAGTTTGAAGTTGATTTTTTTTTTCCCCTTCCCTAAAGAAAACTTCTGAAATAATTCCTTTTGTCTTTTTTCGGCCTTTTAGTGAAAGGGATAAATTCGATTCCCATCCAACTCAAGATCTTCTCCCACTATGCTAGTGTTTTAACGAACTAGCTTTCTTTCCGATAAAAAGAATGGTAGTTATAATCATTGAATTAAAATAATAAAAATTCTTTCTTTCATAATAGAAAGAATTCTAATTTTTTTGTTGTTAATTTGGATCGAGAATAAAGTTAGAATGAGACTTTGTGTTAAAAGAAAAAAGTAGACAAGTTATTCGAACAAATATCGTTGTACACTTTTGGCGCATCAAGTTCGAAAGCATTTGAGATTCAAAGGGAAAAAGTGCTAATTATGTGCTTTCAATTTTTGTTTATTACAGAAGGAGGAGGAAACTAATGGAGGAAAAGCAACTTAGTTGGAAATACACAAAGAGTATCAATAGATCCCATAAATGGAGAAAAGCGTTTTGTTGTGCTTGAATAATGTGATTACGTTTGTTGTGTTTGTATTTTGTTTTGTGTATTTTTTTATTTATTATTTTTTTTTTTGGGGGTGGGTTTGTTTTGAATTTGTGTGTTTGTACTCTTTCATTTTGTAAATAATGCTCACGATTCAATACTTTTTGGACATAAGGATTATGATTTTAAAAATAATAGTGTTCCAATTTACATCTTCTGTTTCAAAATTTATGATTTGTTTGTTGAGGTATTTCTATAGAATTTGTTTATCTAAAATTGTTGAATTATTTTGAAAAGTATATATTTTGGATTTTCATCACCATTCTCCCCCCATACATAAAATTTCATTCTTCCTTCAAAAGTTCATGCATCAAAATTTGCTTAAAAAGGAGATTGGCCGGTTTGGTTAATTATTATGAACCATTCCATTCCACGGAATCTACAAGCTTTTTTCTTGCATCTTTTTATTTTTTTTACTTTTGGGAAATAATTAAAAGATTCTGCTGCTCTTTTTTATTTGTTAAAATCGGCAATATTTAATGAGAATCAAGTCTTAACTTCCTGTTAAAAAGATTTCGTGATCTCGTTTAATACAAGCGGATTATGGTCCATTGAATTATATAGCCTACACTTTTGATTAATACGAATTCAAATATCAAATAATTCAAAATGAACAGAATCCGATCGATTCTGATTACTAATGTTTGAAAACTTAGCTTATATCAGATAAATTTCAATGCTAGTCATCTAATAATTTCGAATCAGCATTAAGTTTGAGTGATCAAATGGTGTTCATCATTGTTGGTTCTCATCGGTCTCTTTATATCTTTGATGATATAAATGGTACTCCCTCCGTCCCATAATTATTGTCCAGTTTTATTAAAATGAAAGATTTTATTTTTGGTCAAACTTAATTATATTTTACCTTAAACAACCGAATATACCCCTACATAAGTAATTGTTTAACCACTAAGATTTTATGGATAATGTTTTTTACTAAGGATAAATGTGTAACTTAATCCATAAAAAGTCAAATTGGACAATAATTTTAGGACAAAATTTTTTGGGCAAAGTGGACAATAATTATGGGACGGAGGGAGTATATAAAGTTGGGAAAAAAGAAAAAAAAAATCGTTTCATCTTACATTTGTGTTGTATTCGGAGTGATAGTAGAAATCAGTATGGGTTTCCTTGGTTCCAAAATTAAATTATGTTAGTTTTCTTATAAATGATTTTATAAAATAAATAATGTACGGAATAATACTCTTTTTGTCTCGAAATAAGAATATGTTTAATGTTTTTTTAATCTTAATCAAGAGCCTTCTAAACAACCTCACGACAAAAGTAGTTGAGGACATTCTTATGTTCTGGAGTTTCTTAAAAATATGTTGCTCTCTTGAGGACTGTAAACTATACATGTCAAATGACCTTAAATTTTATTTGAGAAATCATAATACTACATAATAAAAGAATTTTTGGGATTTTTGTTTGCATTTTCTTCTAGAAGCAACGCAAGGCATGTCATTATTATACGTCAACATTAAAATAGTTAACTATAAATAAAATTAATCTAACCATTAAGAATCATCCTATAGTATAGTTATATCAATATTTTTAAGTATAGAATTTAGTTCTCTAATACAAAAGTTGAATTATGTGCAGAAAGCGGCAAAGGCGGCTGGAAGAAAAGAACCGCAGCGGTAGCTTCTCAAGGAATGGGAAGAATTTAACCAGCAAGAAACCTAAAAAAGATCGATTCCGCGATTGCGTAATTTTGTAAATTTTTTTCATTTTCTATTTTCTCCCTTCGTCTCAAAATGTAATGAAATAACGAAGAAAATATGATATGAAAAATAGCGAGGCCTTTGGTTCTCCCAATGGATTTCTCTTCATTGTCACGGCTATAGTACTATAATGAAATAAACAATTGTGTGGAAATTTTAATTCAAGATAATCAAACACATTGTTTGTGAAGCACGGAGTACAAATTAACCATTTTGATTCTGTTTTCCTTCTGTCTGTTTTTTTTTTGTTTTTGTTTTTGTGAATGTGGGGAAAATTGATTAAAAATATGGATTAAGGCATTCAAAGTACAAAGGGGTGCATTCTTTTCCTCCAAAAAAGTACTATAAACTACTGTATATTTCATTGCTAAGAGAAAGAATTAATAGTTTAATACAACCAACTACAACGTAAAATATAAATAATATACAAAGGAATACATTAATCGAATATGAAACCGAAAACACAGATTTAAAATTGAAACTTGGCCAGTTAGAACTCTATGAAATTCTTTTGCTACTCCCTCCGTCCCATAATTATTGTCCACTTTGCCCAAAAAATTTTGTCCCAAAATTATTGTCCAATTTGACTTTTTATGGATCAAGTTACACATTTGTCCTTAGTAAAAAACATTATCCATAAAATCTTTGTGGTTAAACAATTACTTATGTAGGGGTTTATCCGGTTGTTTAAGATAAAATATAGTTAAGTTTGACTAAAAATAAAATCTTTCATTTTAGTAAAACTGGACAATAAGTATGGGACGGAGGGAGTATTTGTTTTAATATTCGAGGTAGTTATAATTTGATGAAAGGATTTAAGACGCGTTTGGTTTGTTCATGGATTCACTATAAAGATAGGTATAATAAGAAAAAAAGTTTACTATCAATACATCCATTCTAAAATAGTTATTTGGTTTATGAATTAAGTTTAGCCCTTTAGGTATTATTTTCTTTATTTTTTAATTCACTTTAGATTATGATTTAAAAAATAATTAATTTGATTAAGTCCAAATAGCTATTATTTCAATACGCATATAAAGTTAATTAGTTTAAATTCTCATTTAAATGTTGGTAATTTGTATTTGACTAAATAAAACATAAGGTTTAAAATTAAGAAGAAATTGTTTTTTTATGATATAATAATAAATTTGTACACAACATAATCATTATATATATATTAAAGGAAAGAAAGATAATCGACACGTGTCGCTCATTGAGACCATCAAATCTCAATTAACACGTGTCATTTGCTAATTGGTTGATCATTAATCAGTTAAAATTTTTTGTAAACAGTTAATAAATTATTTACTACTCCCTCCGTCCCACAAAAATAATCCAATTTAATAAAAATCTTGTCCTAAAAAAATAGTCAAGTTTAACAAAAGTCAAAATTCATTGAATTGAAATGACTTAAATATCCAAAAGAGTAGTGGTATGAAAAACAAGGTTCACTTCCTTTGATTTTCATTTTTTTTTTATTTTTCTCGTATTTTTTCAAATGATTATATCTTTTAATACATGAATAATTAAAAAATGTGTTATATATCAAATTAATCTACGTAACGAGATCTTTCCATCAAGATCCATTGTCAATATTTTTTGAGATAAAAATTTTGATCAAATTTAAGTTGTAAAATAAATACATATGTAGTTAACTTTTGTAGAAATAACTAGAAGGGGCATTAGTGTAAGTTAGGGGAATGAAATGAGTTGTACATTTAGTATGTTGACCAAATTAAAAAAGTTGTACAATTTCAAACTGGACTTTTTTTGTGGGACGGAGGGAATATATAAGATTTTTACAGATATTACAAATTCCTGATTGTGAGCTTGAAAATAAATATTTTTGAAAATTGCTGAGAAACTCCCGACTTCAAAAGTGCTTTCATTTACGAGTTTAAATTTTCAAACTATTGTCATTTTGGCCCTTAAAGTTCCCTTTGTGTGCTATTTAGTTTTCAAGTTTATCGATTTTACATTTTCAAGGACGATTAATTGTGTCTCATATTTTATTAGAACTACATCTAATCCCCAAAGTCCACTTGCCTATAAAAATAGGCCATATGCATCTAGACATAATTTACGCATTTTTTAAATATACTATTTCTAAAACCAAACATAACATTAGTTAGGGGTGACAATTTTTATAATACAACTTTTGAAAATCTTTGTTGTAATATTTTTTACTAGATCTTACAAATATACCTCTCATAAATAATATCAATACCTCTCATTTTGATCTAAAACTAATTAATCAAAAAATATTACAGTTTTAAGAAATATTAGTAACTACATTTTTTTAAGAGAATAAGGACGGTATATTTGTAACTACATTATCTAATCAATTCTTTTGAAATATAAATTTTCAACATTGACAAAGCCGCGCAAAGCGCGGGACACACACTAGTATTATGAAAAAACAAGAGTTGAAGAAAAAAAATGTTAAAAAAATAGGGAATTAGATCAAAACCCGATCATTTTAATAGGTTTAGAATATTCCTAAATAATTAGTTATCAACCCATTTTTATCGATTCATAATCCGCTAACCAAACATCAATAGTTGAAATTATTATATTCTCTCATTTCAAAACCCACTCAATTCATCGATCATGCAGGTAAATATTAAAAATAAAATAAAAAATAAAAAATCAGTATCTAAACTTGGTTTTGTTTCGAAACTTGTGGTCAATGCATGCGTGAGAGCATATTGTCCGAAGGTGGTCATCATCGCTCCCTCGCTCTCTCAAAGGATTTTGGAAAAACACATTAATTAGAGAGATTCTGCTACGGTGACCGGCAGCAACTTGATTCTGGAGACATTTCTTTTTAGAATATGCACCTGCAATTTTATTCAAATCACATACCTAAACTGTTACATTTCATTTCATTATATAGGTTACATCACACATTTATTAAACGTTTTCCTACTAACCTTAACAATTTGACATTCTTTTCATTAGTAAGAGAAAAAATATTTCTGTTCTAAAAAATAATCCTTCTTTAGTGAAAAGTTACTTGATAAAGATAGACTCATTTCCTGTTACAAAAAGAGTATTTTCTTTTCCTTGGAAATATCAACAATTTTTAAAACATATTTTAAATATTAGTCACTTTTTAAAGGGGTAAAATTAGTCTCTAATGCAAACGTTGGAACTTGAACACCGGGCAAATGTTTAGAGGTTGTCTCCTCTAAATAATGACACAGGGGATAGGATAGCTTTGTTTAACAATATTATCCAGGCGTGTTTATCAAATTGCTCTTGCTAAGACTAATCCGAACTACATTTTACCCTACGAGTTTTAGCCTCATCTTTCCAAAATTTTGATAATACATGTATTCCTTAGTAGGGATAAAAACAATAAAATGCCTAAAATGACAATGATTTACATATACTTCATTTCTTTTTTTTTTTGTCAGTTTGTTTTTTAACATTAAAATGAATATTATTTAATTTGTCATTTTTGCATTTAATTATAACATAAGTTTTTATAAATAAAAGTTAATCCATAATTAATAATATAAATTTATCATACTTCAAAATAAATATATGATAATTAATAAAGATTATTTTATTTCAAAAGACACGATATAGTTAACTTTAAAAATTTATTATTATCCAAATCAATATAAAAGAATTAATATGGAGTATTTTTTAAATTAACTTATTGTACGTTTTTTAAAATATTCAAATTGTATAATATACGAAATATGAATTGAATAGTAGTTTTTACCATTTACATAAAATTGACGATGATATTAATATATTAAAGAAGTATTTGATAGTTGATTATGAATTCAGGAGATATATTGTAGTGCTATCAAATTTCGGAGGATTTATCGATTTATGATAAATCGGGCCAAAACTTAGAGGATAAAATGTACTTCACCCTAAAATTATTTTTTTTGTGTCAAAATATATTTTGGAACTTAACCAAAAAAAATTGGGACGGAAGAAATAACCAAATAACTGGCAATTTATCCAGTATGCCCGGGGGCGCCGTACCCCTTCCTATTTTTTGCATTTCTAGTTCTTATTGTACTTTTTTTATCAATATTTTTATATTTTGCTAGTTTAGTCCCTGTTATTTTTTCTCTCTCTTCCAAAAAAAACATCTCTAATCTTTCAACGAGCATATCTCCCAATCCGTGAAGAATTTGTGAACGAATTATACATGAAATTTATAGTACTCGTCGAGATCTATCCAACAAAATCCATAGTGAATATTTTTTCGGGCTTAAAAATGACTTAATTCTGATAGACAGAATAGGGGTGGATATCCAGTTTTACAAGATGGATAACCAACTTGTTCTAAATTAGTTATCCATTGTGTTCATGATGATTATCCAATCAGTTTGAATTGATTATCCATTTTGTTTCTACTACTTATCTATTTGGTTATCCAACTTCTTAATTCAAAATAAGTTGGTTATCCATCTTATTAAACTGGATATCCAATGTGTTCATATTGATTATCCAATGCGCTAATACTGGTTATCTAATGGATTTAAATGCTTATCCAAATTATTTGTACTGGTTATCCACTGTGTTCATACTGATTATCCAACTTGTTTGTACTGGATATCCATCCATTTGGTTTGTATGCATATCCAACTCTAATCTTTCAACGAGCATATCTCCCAATCCGTGAAGAATTTGTGAACGAATTATATATGAAATTTATAGTACTCGTCGAGATCTACCCAACGAAATCCACAGTAAACATTTTTCGGGCTTAAAAATGACTTAATTCTGATGGACAGAATAGAGGTGGTTATCCATCTTCTTAAACTGGATATCCAATGTATTCATATTGATTATCCAATGTCAAAATATGATTGGATAACAAGTACGAACAGAATTGATAATCAGTCCAAACCGGTTGGATAATCAGTAGGAACACAACGGATAACCATTTTTCAAAGAAAAACGAAAAAACACATTTCTTCATTTCTGCCCGTAAAATTTAAATGCATTTAAAGTTCAAAAAAAATATTCAAAATTGATCTTATCGGATAGATCTCGTCGAGCACTATAAATTTCATATATAATTCGTGTTATAATTCTTTACGAATCAAAATATACAAGGAACACAACAATATGAATGTAAAATAAGTTGGTTATCCATCTTTTTAAACTGGTTATCCACTGTGTTCATGTTGAATATCCAACTTATTTGTGCTGGTTATCCAGTATTTTTTTTCCTTGCTCTTTTATGAAAATGATTGTCAAACTTTTTTGTACTGATTATCCAACGTGTTGCACTGATTATCCAATTATTTTCTATTGATTATCCAAATTGTTTGTAATGCTTATCCAATCATTTTTTCTTTCTTTCTGTTTTTTTTAAAGAGTGAATTTCAAAAATATAATTAGATAACAAGTACAAACAGAATGGATAACCAGTTCAAACCGATTGGATAATCAGCAGGAACACAACGGATAACTATTTTTCAAAGAAAAACGAAACACATTTCTTCATTTCTGCCCGTAAAATTTAAATGCATTTAAATTTTAAAAAAAATATTCTACATTGATCTTATCGGATAGATCACGTCGAGCACTATAAATTTCATATATAATTCGTGTTATAATTCTTTATGGATCAAAAGATATAAGGAACACAACAATATGAATGTAAAATAAGTTGGTTATCCATCTTCTTAAACTGGATATCCAATGTGTTCATATTGATTATCCAACTTATTTGTGGTATTTATCTAGTATTTTTTTTCCCTTGCTCTTTTATGAAAATGATTGTCAAATTTTTTGTACTAATTATCCAACGTGTTGCACTGATTATCCAATTATTTTCTATTGATTATCCAAATTGTTTGCAATGCTTATCCAATCATTTTTTCTTTCTTTCTTTTTTTTTTTGAAGAGTGAATGTCAAAAATATAATTGGATAACAAGTACAAACAGAATGGATAACCAGTTCAAACTGAATAGATAATCAGTATGAACACAATGGATAACCAATTTAGAACAAGTTGGTTATCTGGTTATCCACTGTGTTCATTATGATAATCCAACTTGTTTGTACTGGATATCCAACTTGTTTGTACTGTCCAACTTAATTCTGCCCAAAGAAATTTGATCATTTTTAAGTTGGAAAAAAATATTGGATATGGATCTTGTTGAATAGATCTCAACGAGTACTATAATTTTCATGCATAACACGTTCTCTAATTCTTTACGGATTATGAGATATGGTCATTTAAAGATTAGAGATATTTTTTAAAGGAGAGAGAAAAAAAAGTTACAGGGACTAAACTTGCAAATCATAAAAAGATTGATAAAAAAATACAATAAAGACTCCTCGTGCAAAAAAAAAAGAGGGGAGCACCGTGCCCCTGGGTATACTGGATACAGCCTCAAATAACTTAAGTGCTTAACTGCTTATACGCTGTGTGGTTTGGGTAACAAGATTAGGAGCTTTAAAGAAACTTTATAACGGATTCCATAAGCCTGAAAGGGTTCTTTCCACTGGGTTATTGACCCTTGACAGGCCTTCTCTTGGGGATAAAAGGGTTTTAGGAAATAATTTGTATATGTTATACACTTATATTAAACAAATATTATTTTTTCTGTTTTAAAATAATTGTTTCTTTTTAAATTTTTACTTTTGGTATAATTTATTACTCCTTCTGTCTCAAAATTAATGTCCAGTTTGGGATTTCACTTTTAGTATAATTTGAACTAGAAATAAAAACTCAAACTGGACAATAATTATGGGACGGAGAGAGTATTATTGAAGATAAATATCAAGCTCAACAATCATTTCAAAATGGAAAACAGTTTATTTTTTTCTTCATTCAATAATTGTATAGATATAATAGTAACAATATCATTACAGGGCAATCATTTTGAGACTGCTAATATAAAACAGTTCCCCATAGAAAAGAGAAATTATTCCACAACAATGGTTGTACTCTCTCCATTCCAAAATAAGTGTCATTCTAGAGTTTGCACATAGTTTAAGAAAACATTAAATAAGGTAACTAAATTACTAGAATATCCTCAATCAACCCATTAAAATAAATGTTCCCCAATAATATTATTTCTTTTGAGGGTGTGTTTGAAAATTTTTGACAAAAAATGCATTGAAATCCGAAAATGACACTTATTTTGGGATTTCTCTATTTTGCCAAAACGATACTTATTTTGGAATGGAGGGAGTATCATTTTTTGTGCCGCCCTCCACATACTATCTGAACTCCCGCTAAAATTATAAATGATGCAGTTGTAAAAAATATTATCCTCAAATAATAAATATTGTAATATCACGATCACCTCATCTAGTCCCCTCTACATATTTCTCAAGTCGGTGAATCTCACTTGTAAGATGGTTTAATTTACCCTCAGAGTAGTAAGATAGTAGATGAGAAGCATAAACTGCAGACTATTAGCTGAAAAATTATGGCAATAAAATTTTCAACCCAGATGGTAGTTATCAGGACCTAGAACTAGAAGAAATTTTTAACGTTCGACGCTCTTCGATGGGCTTGTGTAGATTGATGGTTAAATTATTTTTGCTCAATTCTAAAAGTTGTTGGAAGCTTTACCTGCTACTCAAGTTTTTGACGGCCCATTAATGGTTGAGAGGCCTAAAACTTAGTACTCCTTTCGTCTCATAATTATTGTCCACTTTGCCCAAAAAATTTTGTCTCAAAATTATTGTCCAATTTAATTTTTTATAGATCAAGTTACACGTTTGTCCTTAGTAAAAAACGTTATTCATAAAATCTTAGTGCTTAAACAATTACTTATGTAGGGTATATCCAGTTGTTTAAGGTAAAATATAGTTAAGTTTGACCAAAACTAAAATATTTCATTTTAGTAAAACTGGACAATAATGATGGGACGGAAGGAGTACTTAATATTCCTTCTGGTCCTATTTATATGATGTACTTTTGCACCAAACTCAAGTCGAAATTGTGTCCTGTAAAAGCGACCAGAAAGCATACAATTAAAGAAGAAATTTCAATATGATATGTATCTCCTCATCTACCTTTTCCAGCAAGTTAATTCTTTATCTAAGCACATGTACCAATCATATATGCTTCAATTAATTTTGGATGATACATAAACTTACAATTTGCCCTTTCTTTTATGGAGGGTTAGATGAACTGCCCTTGTAGTTAAGATTAGAGTATTAGACCCTAAGAAGCACATTGTATTATTTAGGAGCAAAATGACAAATTTCAACCTTTCACTCAAAAATATGGCACTTCTCAACATGATCTCATGATTTGACACTCAATCTTCAACATGTAATAAAAAAATACTCAAGATACAGAGAAAAACCAGTGTGGCTTGATTCAGCTTTCATTAATTAATCATGTTTTCAAGCATTGGATGGATCAATCATTTCAAACTTGGTTAGGTTGGATGTACAACTCCAACCCACCAGGATTCCACGTGAATCGGGCGAAGAATTATGATAAGACTATAAAAAATACATGCATGATAATATATAATTGAAGGTTGGAAGAACTACACAAAACAGAAGAGTATGATGATGAAGGGGGTTTTCATCATTCTATCTTCTGTTTGCTATTTGTTCCTTCTAATTTTACCAGCAAACTCAAGTTTGATTCCTGAAAACTTCATCCACTGCTTATCTGATCACCAATTTCCATCAAACACTTCAATTCTAAGTGTAGTTTATGCCACAACAAACACATCCTATCAATCCATATTAGACTCTTCCGTTCAAAATCTCCGATTCTTGTCCTCTGCTACCCCAAGGCCTCTTGCCATAATCACTGCCCTGGAATACTCACATGTCCAAACTGCAGTTACATGTTCCAAATCAAATGGACTCCAGATTAGAATCCGAAGCGGTGGCCATGACTTTGAAGGCCTATCCTACAGATCCCAGGTTCCATTTGTTATACTTGACTTGAGAAACCTGAAATCAGTTACCATTGACATTGAAGATGAGAGCGCCTGGGTTGAATCAGGCGTGACAATCGGCGAATTGTGCTACGCCATTGCTGAGAAAAGCCCGGTTCATGGATTTCCGGCTGGTTCGTATCCAGGTGTTGGCATTGGAGGACATTTCAGCGGAGGTGGAATAGGGTACCTTGCTAGGAAATATGGGTTAGCTGCTGATAATGTCATTGATGCACTAATAGTCGACGTTAACGGCCGAATTCTAGATAAAGAATCAATGGGAGGTGATCTTTTCTGGGCTATCAGGGGAGGTGGAGGAGGAAGCTTTGGAGTTGTTCTAGCTTGGAGAATCAAGCTAGTCAAAGTACCTGAAGTAGTCACAGCATTCAAACTAAGCAGGACATCTGAGCAAGGTGCAGTTGATCTTTTACACAAATGGCAATATGTACAGCCAAAACTGAATGAGAAAATAACCATTATGGCAGCATTAAACAAGTTAGGAGCAGGATTTAGTTCTCTCTTCATTGGCAGAGTTGAGGAACTCCTGGAAATGATGGAAGAGGAATTTCCAGAACTCCAGCTGAGAAAAGAAGACTGCACTGAGATGAATTGGATTGAATCTGTCCTGTTTTTGTCTGGGTACCCAGGTGGACACACCATAGAAATTTTGAAGAACAGGGCTTATAACCCGTTTCGGGCTCATCTCAAGCTCAAAACAAACTTAATTCATCAACCTATACCTTATGAAGCATTTCAAGGGATGCGGAATTGGAGTACAGGGGTGGATTTCTCAAGCATATACTTCCAGCCTTACGGTGGAATCATGGAGAGGATATCAGAATCAGAAACTCCATTCCCACACCGAAAAGTTCAATATGAAATCCTGTATCTAATGGGATGGATGGAAGACGGCAAAGATGGCAAATCCTCATCAGAAAAGTACATTCATCAGCTACGAGAGTTGTATGAGTTGATGACACCTTATGTTCCAAACAATCCAAGAAGTGCATATGTGAATTCCAGAGATCTTGATTTGGGGACAAATGGCGTTTTTGGAACTACAACATATTCTAAAGCTAAGAATGACTGGGGATCAAGATACTTCAAGAATAATTTCAGGAAGCTTGCGATTATCAAAGGTAAAGTTGATCCAACCAATTTTTTCTACCATGAACAAAGTATTCCACCACTGTTTGATACCCATGATGAGTTATGAGAGCATAACAAAGTGCAAGGAGAATCTCGGTTCCTTTCAAGTTTCACCAGCAATGCCTTCTCAAGATTTTAGTATACAGTAAGAGGTTTTTATTGATTTGTGTGGTTTGAATTAAGACAAACTAAGACTGTTTCTCTAGTGATCAAGTCTTATACTCCATCCGTCTCAAAATGATTGTCTTGTTTGTTTTAACTTTTAACAATGGATGTATTGTTTGTTTTAACAATGGAGGGAGTAGCATATTATTCTGGTAGACCAATAGACGAATTTTACAAGCTTTTGATTATTATTATTATTATTGATATGTACACCAAAATAATGTTATTGAAACACATTTGTATCCTTAAAATGGAGTAAAAAACATGAATTGTTACATATAATTAACCCCTATTAAAAAAGACCAGTTTTTCAAGAATAATACCATGAAGTATACCCGCAGAGACATATGTTCAAGCAAACCGTGAGTGTTACAAGACCTGGGAAGTAATATGTTCAGTGCTTTCCAAAAAAATAAAAATAAAAAAGGTAATATCTGCTCGGCATCAACATCAAACAGCAAAACAAATTCGGTCAACAGAAGTTGTCGGCATTATAGAGTTCCGTTCACTGGAAGAGCCCTGTAATGCTTAAACATGGACGATTATGGTGAAACACATGGCATTTGTTTTTTTTTTTTTTTTTCCAATTGGAGGAGGGAAAAGAAGGCATTTTAGCGGATAGAATTAGAACTTGTAATTTATACCTGAGGCCAGAAAACGCCATAAGTAGTACAATGCCAATGGTACGTTCTGTACCTGCCTTATCAGTTATGAATTATCTTGAACATTGTGGATCCTATAAATATGATATGCATCCAATCATAATATTTAAATCATACAGTATAATGAATCATGGCTGACTTCTGCTCATCTGTCCCTCCATAATAAAACTAATATCCCATCCTTTAAGATACTCCATTCTCAAATTACTCATTTGCTACATTTGTTTTCCACTTGGTGTTTTTATGACTAGTGCAGGAAAAAAAGGTAGTTGTATCCTGTTGGAAAAATTAAAAAAGAGAATTAAATCCTTTTTTGGGAGCTATTGACTAGTTTACTACGAGTACAAACCAAGAACAATTAGGCTGCACATTAAGATGAAACGGGTAACAACAACCAAATGACGACATGAAGCAAAAATATAAAAAATGCTACCTTTAAAACTGGATATTTCACAAGGTTTCCGGGTCCTAAACATAAAAGTTTTGACACTTAACAGTTTTGGCAGTATTATGTACATCAACTTCGATTGGTAACTTCTTCCTTGCAAGCATGCAAGCTGAAGTGACTTACCTCTTAAAGGGCTTATATAGAACCACGGTTACATATTTTTGTTCAAATCTGTGCGTCAGACCAAGAGCAAGGACAGATTCTGAGGCCCACCCCTTTTCGATAAAGAGGTGGTCAAGCACCACGTGCTGAGGCCTCTGAGGTGAAGAAGAAGATGCTACCCCATCTATTCTCTCTGTGTCAAGGACAGTCAGCTGGAGTTGTGGTGGCACAACCAGAGGATCCTTTGCGAAATCTTCATCTCCCAGAAGAGTATGACTATAACTAGAGTCTGGAGATTGAGGAGTCTCGAACTCTTTTACACCCTCACAGTTTTCCGGTATGAAATCCTAAGAAAATAATAAAAAGCGATCAAGTGAGGAACACCCCATGTCCATTTACAATAAGCTTCAAAATGGAAAACCAACATATACACAAAATTCAGATCTAACTTGAAATGAAATAAAAGGTCATCAGTTCTCTACTAACATAAACCAATTAAAATCCACATTAGTACAACATTTCAAAAGCCAATCACTCCAAGAAGCTCCACTTCTGCTTATCTCATATATTTAGAAGGCCTAATGGTCCAAATCAATGTGTTGTCAAGCTCCAACATCTACAATTGGACATGCTAATCAATGCTTCCTACAAACACTGTGGCCATATAGTCTGGAGAGCCAAATTCATTTGTGGCACTACATAGTTTGCCTTTATGATAACTACTTTTATTTCATTTATTGCATTTGTTGATTTTAGGTATATGAAATGGGCTATTGAACTTTAACATATATTAGTTCTCTACAACACCAGAATGGTTCTAATACTTAAAGTTTTGCCAGAGAAGAATTTAGAAAGCTCCCCAGCAAATTCAGCTTCTAAACAGAACTTTGATCAATGGAAGCTTCTCTGTCTATACTCAAGTTCAGCTAACCAGTAGGTTAATACATTTCCATTTCAGGTAACGTTGAGTTTCATACATAGATATTACATCTGGCATGAGATCTTAAAAATAGTGTAATGTTACTAAGGAAGAAATTTTAAGTGGTGATATTACAAGCATCTCAGAAATGATACTAAGAACAAACTGGTCCATTTCATCTACCTTACGGGTTTTCCCACATCTTCAAATAGGGTGATCTATACCTTGCTTCCCAGATGTCAGTTTAACCTCTGAGCACACAACTTATTACGTACCTCATCTTCCATTTCAACTAAGCCAGTTAAACTTCTAAGCCTATCAGGAAAATTACTGCACTATTCAGCAGAAAAATCAAATTTGAGAAAAAGATTATTCATACACTTTATTCCATGTCATTTGTTTGTGTTTTCTCATTTTTCTCTACATAAAAACAGGTTTTGCTCTACACATGAACCAGAAAAGAAACGAAAAGTAAACACAAAAGAGCAACCTCGTGCTAATACACACTTCTTTCAAGTTTATGAGATAATACAGAAAACAGCTCCTTGTCAGGTTATAATAACATTGTTCAGAGTAAAGTCAATATACAGATATCTATAGGTCATCAGGAGCCTCATGTTACCAAATTTACATTCAAAAACTATTTACTTACCTGAACATCAAGAATATTGCAAACTTGTCCCATATGATCAGCTTCACAGGGAAGATCTTGGATATATCTCACATGGCCGTCCACAATGAATTTATACCGATATATTCCAGATGGTAGCACCAAGAGAATGGCATGATCCTTTCCAGATCTTTGTAGCCTCTTCCTATAAATAAATAGCTTAAACTCATAATAAACAATCCAAAAGTTTGTGCACTGAAAAGAAGAACATTTACCCTAAAGCAGCTGTAGTCTGAAAAACGAAAGCCTGTAACCATTTCAGAGTGACACATGAAGCCTCACCTTGAGCTCCAATTATCCCAGGACCCTTCTACAGCAACATCATTACCACCATGACTCCATGTTATAAGAGTAGGTATACCACGCTCGAATTGCTGACCCCCAGCCTCTGGGATTTCATCTCTTTGCATCTGATGGAAGAATGGAGGGTTATCACCACGTAATGGGACAGCTGGCACCTACCAACACATACAGAACAGGATCAATTATGCAGTTCCATTCATTTCCAACACGCAGTTCTCTTTCAAATGAACACCAATTATTAGATTGGAGAAAAGCAACAGAATAATAGACATAAGACATAATTGCATAACTGCAAAGATTGAAGCAAAAAAAAAAAGAAAAAAAAGTAATGTTGGCCACACAACTTTTAAAGGGAACAATCATACAACTATTAACTATAAGTGTTCAAATTCCGTGAAAGAAATCCTTGTTAAGGGAAGAACCTATCTAGCCTCATTCGTGAGGTTTCGTGATTACCATAAGTTTTGGCGGTTTGGTAAAATAATGTCAATGCTAGTAAATGACAAACAACCATACTCACATTGCCGGTACAAGAATATCTTAAATTAAGGCCAACGCATCCAAGTTTCCTGTTATTATTCTCACTGCCAAACCACATAAGAACATCAACCCAGAAAAAAAAAAAAACACAAAAATGAAAGCATCTATTCTTTAATACTACATACATTCACTTGAAACTTTACTTAAGATACTCAGGTCTTCTTTTATTGGTAAATGATTTGGATTTCTTTTACATATAAAGCCATAAAAATGCAGAACGAAAACGACTTGTTAATTTCGCCACACAAACATTTCTAAAAAGTTGCTATAATCTACGAATACGTATGAACTGAGTACGAAAGGAAGTAGTAATCGTGAAGAGTAGTTTCTATTCACCTGAGGATTGAACATCAAAGGTGCAGCGTCGAAACGCCGGGGACTACGGGGCGGTGAATTCATCATCAGATCAGCCGACCCCACTCGCACAGTCAGCGCGTGAGGTTGAGGTGCCGGATTCGCACCGCCATTCGATAACACTTCAGTCCCCTGCATCCCATCACCACCACCACCGCCTCCGCCAGCGCCGCTACTGCCGCCACCGTTTTCTCTTGCACTAGCGTTTCCCATCTTCAACCGTACAAAATACACATGTACACGGTTTGATTGCTCAAAGCCAAAAGGGAGAGATTTTCCTGAGTTCTTATCTACAAAAAAATTGAAAGAAAAACTGCTCCATCATTGGAAATGGAGAGAAATGGAGACGACGACGGAGGAGGAGGAAAACTGTGAAGTTATAAACGGAGGGCGGGATTGACAGATATGGATGACGTGGAAAGATCTGGGATGTCGGAATCGGATAAGATCGATTTATTGTAGGCTGGATAATTTCGGATATCTTTGAATATATAATTTTTGTAATGTAGGACAGAGAGTATTAGGACAAAAGCGTATCAATCAGTTGACTGTGAATTTCTTTTTGCCTTTTACTTCAAGAAAGAGACGTTTCGTCGGGCCAGTCGCCGGCACGTCGCCAAAGTTACAAATTTGTGGTCGGACCCCGGAGATTTTATAATTAGATTGAAGCCCTAATTAGGTGAGCTCGGTCAAATTTTGGTTCATAATAGTTATGAAAAATGGTGCAATCGGAAATTCATGGTCATTGTGGTACTGATTCGTGAACAGTGGTTTTCAAATTTCAGAGTTGGCTTCATTTGTTTTGAACAATTTTTTCTAACGAAAAAAAAAATCGAATAAATGTTAATTTTTATTATCATAAACATTTTCAAAATATTAGAATTTGTTGAAGTATATAAAAGGTCGAGAATTTAACATTCAAAAATTGAGAAGTTTATTGACAAAGACCTTGTCACGGTAAGGATATTATACCACACAGTTAATCATTGTCTAAACCAATTTACTTATTTATTTGTTTATTAAGAAAGTTACTTTTTTTATAAGATAAAATTTACATTAATAAGAAAGGACAATTTTTTAAAATCTTATATGACATGATATCATTGGGCGTCCTGACAAAGACTTTGTCAGAACACAAATGATATTGGGAGAATGATTAAAAATGGCACTTAAAAGATGGATATTATTCTTAGGGGCATTACCTTTTTTATGATTTATAGAGTGAATGTCAAAATAATTTTAATGTTAAAAATAACTGGTTTATCCTTTTTGCAACCAGTAGTAAATTAACAATTGCTCTTTTCTTTTCTTTTTATTCCCTTAAAACTAGCCTCCTCTATCAGTTTGAGCTACTTTTAGCCATTGTTATTCATTTGCTAAAAATTATTGTGGCATTATAAAAGTGTTGATAGCAATCTCGTAGACGAAGTAAATTTCGTTAATCTAACCATCAACAAGAAAATATGAAGATAATTTGTCTATCCCGTGAAACTCAAAAGAGTCTGGAAAATTTACAGTAAGACGATCGTTTATCTAAGTGATTATATCCTTTAACTCAAACCAAGCAAAGAACACATTATCCATGAAAGATTCGAATTAAGCAACAACCCACGCTAAGAATAGCAAGGACACCATTCAATATACTCGATCAGTCATCATTCAAGAGACTCAAGAAAGGTAGGAGCAAACAATGCTCAACTATGAAGGAATATTATTTATTAGTAATCTTCATAACCAACCAAAGATATGCAATACATACACTATCTCAAAATGCTTATGCCAAAGCACAACTCATCCAACAAAAGTAAGACAAACGCCACAATGGAACTCATGAACACACTCATCGTCAAATTTGAACACCAAGCTAAAAGAAAGGCTCATCAATCGAACTACTAAAAGTAGTATGAAAATAAGAAGTTTTGTTTTAAAACAATTCTATCAAGAAGCATACTTGAAAAAGAACGGTTTCTGCAAGATCAAAAAGATCCAAGACAAGATGAAAACCCTCTTGGTTAAATCATGCTTGACACGAAAAATGGACACTCCATTTAACAAAAATTCCTCACAGGAAAAACTCTCAAAAGAGACAACAAAAATGACCACTCAAGGGTGCTTTGAAATTTCGGCCAAGCCCTCTATTTATAGGCTTAGAATTTCGGCCAGCACCAATAGAAGAAGATCAATTAGGACTCTCTAATCTTATCTCACAAGGAGTAGAAGTAGAATAGTATTTGATCTCTTTGACTCTATCTAAAATCTAAGAAACCTTATCTAAATGACTTATCCTCAAGTAGGATAATATCTAGAAGGAATCTAAGACACCTCATCAAAACACTCTAGTTTTATTCAGCCCACATGGCTTATCTAACTAGATAAAATTTTGAAAATAACTCCTAGACTTAGACTAACTCTAATTCTCGAAAATCAGCTCCCAAATATTGAAGTAAAATGTCTTGAACGCCCCTTAAGTTGTAGAAAACTCCAATTTACTCCAAAACTTGTAGAATTCTCTTTATTGACTCCAAAAGATTGGAAAAAAACACTTGAAACAATTAAGATAGTTTACAACCTATCCAATTGTGTAGCAATGGACTCAATCTTGAACACTTTGATCAAATAGGCCGTCCATTCAAGAACCTAAATGACTCTTCTTACTAGCTTGATCAATGATCTTCATGGAGCACACAGAGTCAAACTCTCTTGATACTCTTCAGCACTTATTTCCATGAGGTCATCATCTCCTTTGGTTTGAACCCCAAAATTAATGACATTCTCATCACCTTGATCATAGCATACTTGAACCAACTCCCTATCACTTAGGTAGTCAAGATCCATCCTTTCTTCCTTGATTGGCCTGCAAAGTAAACTTGGCATTCCAAAATTAGAATGAAGGACTAGTTCATTCCCCTCACTAGGAGAATCACCATGGAAGGCTACATGATTCTCATCATCCCCTCCTTCTTTAAGAGGATTCGTCCTCGAATCATCAACTGCTATACCTGCACAAGGAATAAACGAGATATAAGGGTTAGTAAAATATCTACCCTCACCACACTCTGATTTTCTCTCATTGCGTGCATTTTTTTTCTGTTTCCACGCTATTTTCATGGTTTTCTCTCGCCTCAAGTCTTACCTCAGCGTGACCCTTTTTACTTTCTTGCGTCACTCTCTCGACTTTTTCTCTCCCTTGTGTATAGGTTATCTTACGTCTTTTCTCTCGCACAAATTTAGATTTTTCATAAGCCAAAGGCTTAAGAATATATTTTCTGTCCTCTTTAGTAAAGACAAAGATATTCTTCGAGCAATGGTGCACAGCATCTACATCTGATTGCCAAGGCCTACCTAGCAAAATATCACAAAGAGACATAGGAATTACATCAAAGTAAATTTCATCCCTATACTCACCAATCTGAAAAGGTACCATGGCCTTCTTAGTGACATCCACAACCATCTCTTCACTCAACCATTGAAGCTTGTATGGTCTAGTATGCTGATCCATCTTGATTCCGTTTGTTATGCAAAATTCCTCACTTATACAATCAGTACTCGACCCACCGTCGATTACCAAATCAACTTCATTGGACCCCCCAACCGAACACTTAATACGGAAGATACAAGTCCGTTGATCACCATCTTCAGCGCCAAACACCAACCCTTGATCCTCTATTGGACCATTCCAACCACAAGAAGTATCATGCTCTCTTTCCACTTCTAAGGTAGCATAATATGCCTCATAGAGCCTTGATTGCCTCCTTATCTTTGGGTGTTGTTTGAACCACTTGTCCAAGCCATAGTGGAAACGATCTGTCAACATGTAGTCGTTCTCATCCACTTCTGAACTCATAAACAACCCTTCTAATTCCTCAAAGTAAGATTGAATGGATCTACTATTCTGCTTACAATTGAGCAACTTCACTTTTGGTTCATCAAAGGTGTTAGTACCAGCATATCTTTCTCGCAAAGCATTTCTCAAATCATGCCAATCATCCAAATTACGATACCAATGATGCGAATAGATATTTGAAACTAGCTTCCACTAATTCAAAGCACTAGAACGAAAACAACCTATAGCTAAGGCTATTTTCTCACTCTCTTTCTCTATGTTAAGCAACACAAACAAATTCTCTATGCTCCTTTCTCAAGTATCATATTCTCTATGACAACTATAAAACAAAGGCAATGACACTTGCAACATTCCAGCATACGGGGGTACTTGTTTAACTTCAAAACGATCACATAAGACTCTTAAATTTTCAGCAAATTTTCTCAAAACTTACCATGGCTTTATCTTGCTGATTTGAAAGCAATTGAGACAAGTCTCGGTTTGTCTCCTTAACCTCGGCCAAAGCATCATGTAAGAAGTCAATTTGACTCTTCATGAGCTGTACTTGAGCCTCCATGCGACCCTCTACACCCTTTGAAGTAACTTGAGTATAACCAGCAACTCCGGATGACATCTTTGCTCAACAATTCTGAGAAACCACTAACAAAAGAAGTAATGTGCCTTGGTTACTACACAAAAACTCCTTGAACCCTAGAACCAAAGTAGGTTCGGACGAAACCCCCCCAAGAACCAAAGGAAGGTTCGAATAAAGCTCTCCCCAAAAACAAAAACTCTCTTGTGCTTTTAAGAACACTAACTCTCAAAATTTCAGAATTAAAGAGAAGAGTGCTTTTCTTGTTTTTCTCTTTTGATCTCGGCAGCAAGAAAAGAAGAAGATTGGAGTAGAGTGATGTGAGAATTTTCGAAAAACAGCACCCCTATTTATAGGCAATGCAAGTCTTTTTGTGCAAGAAAACTCCCACAGGATAGGACCTAAATTTTCTCAAAAATATTCCCCCCCTTTAATGGATTAAGGTTGCTCGACAATGTGAATAAAGAAGAAGAAAAACCGGCCTCATATATATAGACAAGGATAGAGTCTTAAAACTTAGGTAAACATAATCCTTTTTGGACACAAATTAGGAAAATTCATCCCTACTTATTAGAGATAAAATTTTCGACCCCCTACTACTAATAGGACTCAAAATACACGGCCACACACATGCACAATTGTATTAGAAGACTCAAAAATTTTCAGATTAGGATAAGACTTCCTTATCTCAATAGTTTTCGAAAATAGACTCACTTTAAAACTCTAATTATACTCTCACTGAAATTATAATTTAACACATGCAAAAAAATTAGTATTTAAATCCAAGTAGGACTCAAATAAAACACACAATAAAATTGTATTACAATTAGGAAACAATGGCTGCAAATTTTCGGCCAATGTGAACACAAAAATCCAAAACCGAATAGGACTCAAATCATAACACAATTTGGACTCAATGACCTTAATTTTAGGGCTAAAATTTTCGGCCATGTGAACAAAATAATCCAAGACTGAATAGGTCTCCAAGTGTAACACAAATAGACAACGAAAATTCAAGTTCAACTAGGACTAGGAAACCCTAATTTTTAGCTTCACAATTTCGGCTATACTATGACTCTAAAATTCAAAACCAACTAGGCTTAGAATTCCACATAAATCACACACACACACATGCAAAAAGTCAGCAAAATTTCGGCTATTAACCTTTTACCACATAGTTAAAATTTGAAAAATTACTTTTGACTCACTTAAAAAGGAAACTTGAAAATTACCACTTTCCAAAAATGGACAACAACTTTTAGAATCTTTCTAAAAACCCTTTTCCAAATTGTACTTGGAATTAACAAAAATCACTTTTTACCAAAACAATCCATGGCAAATAAAGTAACAAGAACACCATAATTATAATGAAGTAGG